CTGTTGTTGTTTTTTAAAACAGATACCTTAAATGATTTAGTGTCTATCTCCAACAAAAGAACAATAAAAAGTGTTTTGACATTATGGCTTCACTTGTACCTGACGCTGTTGATGACATTTTTTTCTCAAAATAATGCATCACCTTTATTACTTTATAGAAACAGAATATGATACTACTTGCGCTGGTTAGAAAGAACGCCCATTCCACGATCCTGCCTTGTAAATGCCCACTTACAGTTTTGAAAGGGATGTTGTTAATTTAATTATTAAGCCCACAGAATTAGCGATTGGCTGGCGGATGCTCTGGCGTGGTTTACTGCATTTTTCCTGTCAAACATGTTTCTATCGTCGTTATCTCTCTGCCTTCATTTTTATGTTTGTTAATCTCTTATAACACCCACTGTAATCTTCCGCACTTGTCTGACCTATTTAGGTTGCAAGCACGATGTATGTAATATACTAATATTATTACATCAACACATCGGAATAGACTTGCCTGCCTCGCTCAAGAGAATCGAGACGACGTCATGTGAACCTTCCAGCTGTTATGATGATAGCCGATTATACGAGGGGATACAGATTTGACAAGCTTGGTGGGTTAGCCCACTGTTCAGGGGATATACCATTTGTATATACTTCAAATCAGGAACAGTCCATCTGATAGAAAGGTATGCCTTATTGTGGATGGGATGGCCCTTTTCGCCCTCAGATTTACTTGAAAGGCGTTTTCAGCATATCTCTGCACAACTGAGCCAATCCAAATTTTAGTCTAATTTCTTTTTAAAATAGTAAATAATTTGTCAATAATTTATACGATATACGTATACAAGACAACTGACTCATGAAAAACCACAGAAGAATTCATTTGAAATTGAAAATAAACGCAGAGATAGATTTCATGGGTCCAAAAACTTTACCTTCGATTTTCTCAAAACAGCATTTTTCGGGATAGCCCCCTTTTGCTTAAAAGCGACCATTTCAGGTGTGCATACACAAATATATTGTACACATCCAGGGGAGTGAATACATGTGTGTGTGTTTGCGCGCGTGTATGTGCGTGTGTATGTGTGTGCGTGTGCGTGTGTGTGTGTGTGTGTGTTGGGGGAAGGAAAGGGGATACTATGTGGATGTGCTAGTGGAGGACACACACACACATAACCCCCCCCCCCCCCGAAAAAAACACCTTGAAAACGTTTTTTTATTTGTGAGGAACAAGCAATAAATGGAACTATAGTAATATAAAGGAGCACGAATGCGCTCATGTTGGTAGCTCAAGGCTCGGGTTGAGTTGTGGTTATTGCAGCTGGATCGGTTGTTTGGGTTTCTTTTTTTATTTTCGATTTTTTCTTTTTCACCGACCCCTCTGACAGTAAAGACTTTGGGGGGGGGGGGGGGGGGCCTCTCGTGGCCTAGAGGTTAAGGTGTTGGCCTCTCATTCAAAGGTCCCGGGTTCGATTCCGGGTAGCGACCAAAAAATTGTCTTCTCTAAAATTGTCTCCTTTCACATCCTTTCCTGATCTCTAACAATGTTCTGTTGTCTGCTTTCATTTCCACTTTCTGCCCCCACCCCCTCACCCCTTTTGCCCCCTCCTCTGGGCTCCTGACTCTTTCTGCAGCCTTTCTACTGCTACTCCCTGGCTCCTCCTAACTGCTGTCTTTCTGCCACACCCCTGATCTTCTGGTAGGAAAGATCTACACCTAGCCTTCTCGGACAAGGGCGAAAAATCTCGGAGGGCCCGTGTGCAAGTTGCGCACGTTAAAGATCCCTTGGTGGTCTAAAATCGATAAGAGTAGGCTTCGGCCGCCACCCGGGCAAAATTCAAAATTTCCTACCAACGAAAAAGTATTAGGTGTGTCCCGCGCGCTCATATGACCTTATG